CACATTTTTCACCTTGTCCATCAAAGGGAGGTGAGCTACCTCACAGCCTGCAGCCTCTTAAGGTGTCTGCTGACCCAACCTCAGCAGCACCCACAGCCCAGCAGGGTCCAACCTCACCAACATTACTCAGTCCACATTCCTTCTCATTCTTCACACTGCCCACGCTGGACTTTGAAAGCTCCTCTATCTAGTCAGGTATGTGCCCACAAAGTCCAGCCCTCTGCAGGCAGCTCTTCCCCACCACCCTCTGTCCAAAGGGTGAATGGCCACTCATGCTTCAGGTCTAAGCCAAGAGGTCACTTTCTCAGAAATGTTCTCTGTGATCCCCAGACAAACTGAGACTCAAGTACATACAACTCTTTCTTCATGGTCCTTCTCTGGATTATAATTAACTCCTTAGGGCTGTGATTTCTCTGAGAGCCTGTCTTTGTTACAAGGTAAACTCCATGAGCACAGGTCCCACCTATGTCCTGTTCTCTCAGGTCCCAGGGCCCATCCCGGGTCTGACACATCACAGATGCTCAGTAAACACACATTAAATGGATGAGAGAAACCACCCAATGGAATCCTGTCACCCTGTGTGACACTAGTGCTCAAACTATGTTCCTTATAGGCAGGAAGACATTGGTGTCAGTATGGGAGGAGGCCACAAGTGTGTGGGGATGACCAGGGATGGGATTTTTCCCCCTCATCCAATAAGGGGGGTGGGAGATAGGACCAACTAAGAGTGAAGTGTCAGACCTTCCTTCATTCTCAGGAAATCACAGCCCTCCCCATTTCCACCTTGTGAGTGCTGTCTTATATTCCTGGGGCCTGGACAGTAGCCTCTGTTCTTTGTCTTCTCACAGAGCCCTGATCTGGCAGACACTCTGTATCTGTCACGCCAGGTAGAGGTACTACCATGGGAAAAGAGAGCTCACACTGACCTCAAAGAAATCCGTAGATGACTCCCAAACCGAAGGTGCCTTGTCTGTGGGACACCTGCATGATGTAGTCCCTGAACATCTCACCCACCCATGATGTCCTGGGGAGCAAGGGGAACTTCTGTAAGAAGATGGGACAGGAGAACCCAGGATCTGGGGTTGCTTCCATCTCAGAGGACTGAGGGTCCCACAGGGGCCTCCCCTCCCCTAACAGAGGGACCCACAGCTCCTGTGGTTGACACGCCAAGTGGAGCTGCTTCAGATCCTGGGCCCTGGAGGAGGACTACAGCAGAGGATGGACAGGGACACAGGAGACTTGAATGCAAAACCCCAATGCAATGATGGAGACGCAGGGGGCATTTGGGGGATCAGCCCTCCAGTTTGGCACACTCTACTAAAAGCCTCAGAAGAGACATCACCAGGTCCTGTTCTTAAAACCTTTGGGACAGAGAGTTCCTCCTGAAACAGCACATCCACCAGAGGGGACAGTTCTCATGACACTGGACTCATAATCCTCTGGACCCCCAGCCCCTTTGAGATGGAAGCAGCCCCAAATCCTGTCTTATTACTGGGCTCACTTTGCTCTGAGATGGAGTCAGGAGGCCTGGAGCCCACAGTGACTGAACCCCGACTGACTGGCCTTTAAGCTTGAAGGCCAGAGCCCACCTCTACTCAGGTGTCAGGGTCAGCTCTCATTCTCTGGTCAGCATCTCTGGTGCAGCACCTGACATAGGCTGCAGGTCTCATTCTGCTCTCCAGGGGGCGACATTTTGACACACAGACAACAGAGGGTATTCACACATGAACCTGGCTTTGCCTAAGGAGCTGGAGAAGGAGCCTGATTTCCATCCCATGCTCCCACAGAGGCTTTTGGAATCCGCCCTCATGACTGCTGTATCCCACCTGCTACTTCTTGTGACTGTGAATAAAACAACAACAATAAAAAGGGCTGTAAAATAAGCCTGACAAGCCCAGCAGGTCACATGGCAGTCCTGACAAGCTCAGTGACCAAAAATAACTGCACAGGATGGTCTGATCACAAATTCCTAACAGGGCAGGTGATGTCAGGGAGTCATGTCCCAGGCCTACAGCTTCGTTAGCAAAGGTCAGACTTTACGTTAAGTGAGCCCTGTTCCCTGTTCTTATCCATCTTGGATAACATACCGCTGACACATCAGAGTAGTTGTCTTTTTGCAAGACGATTTGAAGGCACAGACTCTGGGACCAGCATATGAGACAACATACTTCTTAGGTTACCTGGTTCCTTGCACAACCTCTCTATGTGCTGTAAATGTTAATTATCCTGGACCCACCAAAGTAAAAACAAAACAAAACTGTTTCTCCATTTTGCTATTTATCAATTCTAGAGATTTCTTCACTTCCTAATGGATTTCACACAACTTATTCCATCTTCTTTTTTTTTATTATGATGTATAAAATAAGTTGCACAACTGCCAAGGTAAGATTTGAGATCTTGTTCCAGGCATATGACGTTAGCTTGGTTCAAATAAACTCATGAAAATCTCCACAGGTTGGGAAGATTCTTACTTTAACAGGCCCAAGAGCAACTGCTTCCTCAGGGTTCTATTTGCTGCTCCCTTTCCCATGCCTGGCACCACCCATGAACACAGTGGGGTAATGAAAGGAATCTCCTCAAAGGCTGAGGAAAGACACTTCCCCAAGGTCAGGGAGCACCAGGACAGGCTCAGCCAACAGAGAGGGAGAGTCTCCCAGAAACTACCCCTGACAACCAGGGAGCCCACAGCCACCTGAGCTCCCACCACAGTCCTCTCTTCCCAGTACATGCAGGACACCTTGCTCTTCACTCCCAGGCCCAGCTGGGCCTCCTGAGACGCCTGGTCCTGGGACTCTGTCCCTGGAAGCAAAGGCCAGGCTGGTGACAACCTGAGATAGAGGGAGGGTCCCCTCTGCAGTCATCTCCCAGCTTGACCCCTTCTCACCCCAGTCACCTCTGTGGCATTCCTGCTGGGAGGAAATCCAACCTTCGTAGCACATTTGAGAACACGGGGCAGACCCGGTGCCCAGCTGCGTTTCTGTGTCACAAACAGAAATAATCCCCAGTTTGGGGCCTGTGGGGCTCTCTGTGTGGTGCTGACAGACGCAAGACCAAGACACAGCAGAGGCCAATGCTGGGGTGAGAGGGTCATCCTCTCAGGGGACACGTGCTTCCGTCAGCCTTGCTGTTGCAAGAGGGCTCCACAGGCCAGTAAGACCCACCTTCCCTGAGAGCCCATCAGATTCAGAGTCTCTGGTCCACTGCACACCTGCAGAGTCAGAATCTGCATTTTAATAGGATGTGGAGACCCTCCCTGTGCACAGGAGAGGGGGATGGGTGTCCCATCACCACATCACCAGATCTCATTCTGGTTGGGCATCCGCATTAGCTGGACAGCTGCTAAAGCAGCATCTATGGTGTCACCTGGGCATCGCAATCCTTGCAAAGTTTCACAGGTGATCCGATGTACAGTGGTGGTGACATCTGTGTGAGAACAGTTCCTGAGGTGGCCCCAGAACTCCTGCTCTGAAGGGAAAAGTCAAATGTGAAAGAGAGAGGGCTGTGGGGGAGGCTACTGTGCACCTGACTGGGAGCCATGGGGAATGTCCATGACCTGGATGCTCCAGGCTGGTGCTTTTCCAAACAGAGCATGTGAATGTTTGTGAGTGTTCAGATACCTCAGCAGTTCCAAGGGAACCAACATTTAGAGGGATGGTAAGCTGGAAGGAGGGGGAAAGGGTGGCAAAAATGAGGGGAGGAGGAGGTGGGTCTTTGGCACAAACTCCACCCTCGTCCACGTGAGCAGGTAAGTGATCTTGCATCAGGAGGAGGCCCAGTGCACAGTGAAGAGGGTCAGCAGATCCCACCAGTTCGCACAGCGGTGCCTTTGAGATTTCCTGGAATCCAAGCTCTTCTCCCAGAGGGAGGGACAGTACAGGCAGCAGACACCATGGACTCACTCTCAGCCCCTATCTGCAGAGGACCTATCCCCTGGCAGGGGCTCCTGTTGGCTGGTAAGGAAGGAACAATCGCTGGGGGGTAGACTGGAGCAGGAAAGACAGGGACTTGCTGGTGTCTCCTGGGGAGAACAGCGCTCTGAGAGTGGAGGGAGGGCTTCTGTGTGTACCTGAGGGGAAAGTACAGGGGGCAGAGTAGGATGGGTAAGGAAGATGGGTAACAGGTAACTGGGAATTCTCATGACCTGGAAGTGAAGTGGGGCAGGGAAACTTCAGTTGCTGTAAATTCCTAAGTTATTCATCATTGAGTATTAAATTTTGGAAAGTGACCATAATAACAATTTATGTCAGGTCACACCAGAGAAAAACTTAATCAGGGGTGCTAAACATCATCCTTACCACCAGCCAAGGAGAAATACACCCCAAGAGGTGCAGGACTCTGGGAACATTCATTCACCCACAGGTATTTGCAGCCTGTTGCAGGCATGGGGGATGCAAGATCTGACAAGCCCCTGTCCCCATGGAGCTCACGTTCTGTGGGTGGAGAGAGATAAGAAAATATCTACATGTGATGGCAGGTACCCACAAGTGTTATAAAAAGAGCAGAGCAGAGACAGGTCAGAAAATGATTAACAGAAAGTCTTTAGGGAAGTGTTCCATGAAGGTGCCTCCCATGGACACCCCTAAGTGTCAGCAGGGGTCTGAGGGCAGTGAGTGGGTGAGCTGAACAGACACCTGGAAAAGAGTCTGAGAAACAGAAAAAGTAAGAGGTTCACAGGTGCTGAAGTATTGGTGGTCATGCTGTTGACCTTGACCACACTCACACACACACACTCACACACACCAAGGCTGAAATGAAGGGATCTGTTCCATATCCAGGGCCTCATCTTTATATCCCAACATATACATCCAAATATTGATCAATTTCTCTCTTCCCTCCTAGTTTCACTCTTAAATTTCTGGAGCCTGCCCACCACTGCCGAATTCGTTGTTTTGTCAAAAAATGCTGTCGAAGGGAGGACTGTGATGCTACGTACCCGCGATGTGCCTCCCGGTGTTACTGCCTTCTATTGGTACAAGGGGAGAGAGACATACAACAAAAATATGATTGGACGTCTTACAAAGTTGATAGGAAGACAAAGAACAGGGCCTGCATACAGCGGTCGAGAGTATATATACTTTGATGGAACCTTGGTGATAAATACGGTCACCCAGAAGGACACAGGATTCTACACCTTAGTAGTCAACCTTCCAAACAAAAAACAAGAAATAAGATATGCACGGCTCAATGTATATGGTGAGTGATTGCTCTCTGACCTCTGGGTGTTGGATGGGTGAACACACAGGACTGATAGCCCTGGACTCTGCCTCCATCCCCCTCTGCATCATCTCCCAGGTTGGGTTTGGGCATTTAGTGCAGGACACACACAGTGGAAACAAAGTTTCTAAGATCAGAGTTCCCTTCCCGGATTCTAGCCCTGCAGACATTCTCCACAGAGAGAAGGGCCAGTCTGATGGGAGTCGCTCAGCAGAGAGAGACCAGTCTCAGTCTGGTTCCCTCGGCCCCTCCCCATGACAATGACCCTGAGAAATGCCCTGCAGGACTCGGCCAGGTCCCATTCTGAGGAGCCCCCTGCAATCTTCATAAAGAAGCTCAGGTTTGGCAGCCCCGCCCAGACCTCTGCCCCAGGGTTTCTGACTCCAGGGACCCTGGGGTTCCTGTGTCAGGTTGGGGTTAACTTCCTGGGAAGGGCTGAGTGGGTGCAATGGTTTCCCAGGTGTCTGAGTCACAAGGCTTTTGAGCTGCTCAGAAGCCAGAGCTCAGGCCCATGAGCCACATCTGGATAGGGGTGGTGATTCACCTGAGACTGAGTGTGGCTAGCACAGATGGAAAAGGTCGCCAGGCCATTTGTGAACTACACTGAAACATTTAGGAGAGTCCAGAGAATGGTCAGAATCACAGGGAACAAAAAGGAGGAAAGATGCTCCTGGCAGCTCCTCATCCACCAGGGATCAGCCCAGGAGATTCTCTCTTGGAGTTGACCAATAACAAATGCCCCTCATTTGAGCAGATCCCCTGTGCCAATGTTTAGTCAGATACTGTGAATATTTTATTGTTAATACACTGACACCCTGGCAGTCAAATGTTCATCGTACTGCATTGAGAGGAAACCAAGGCACAGGGAGATATAGTCACTAAAGCAGAGCCACACAGACCATGAGAGTGACTCAAGGTCTGACTGCAGCCATAACCTCTCCCCCATCCCAGAGGGACCCCTAAAGCAAACATTGGTTTAGATCAGTGATGGCAAATGATTTGAGCTTGGGGTGCCAGCATTTTGAAAAACCTTAACTTGGTGCTGTGTCACATATAGAAATTTTTTGATATTTGCAACCATAGTAAAACAAAGACTTATATTTTTGATATTTATTTTATATATTTAAATGCCACTTAACAGAAAAATCAGACAAAAAAAATGAGTTTGCATAACACCTCTGACACGCGTGTCTTAGGTTCGCCATCACTGGTTTACATCTTCCCTTAGGCATCCCCAGTTCAGAGATAGAGAATGTGGACTAGAAAATAACACCAAATGGAGAATTAATTTATTTGTACTGTAGAACCAAATTACCTGCAGTAATAATTAGTCAGTGCTGGGAACACCCAGACCTTCCCCTCAGGTGGCTAATACACCCCTCCCGGCACTGGAGGTGAAACCACTGAATTGTTTCCTGATGTGTTGGTGTCATTCCCACTGGATATGAAGGAAAGGACTTTGCCTGCTCACTCCCAATTTACGCTTGTAACCAGCTAAGGGATCAAGATGTAACACTCGGTTGTTTTGATGAATTAGGAAGAAATAAATGGCTACTGAAGGAAGGAATGAGGTAAAATATCTTCAGAGGCTGAAACCTGGATGCAGAGTCTTTGAAATGCTGGTCACATTGGAAAGGCTCCCTGTCACTCCAGGGGTTGAGAAGCAAGTTTCAGACCCTTTGCTGTTCTCTAGAGAAATAGTCCTTCTTGCTTTTGCTCTTAGGCCCTGGGGTATTAATAGTAATTTTTGCATATGGGGGAATGTTAAGATCTTTCCAAATTTCTATCTCATAACGACCAAACACAAATGGCCCACAAGGGTCTGAATGTCAGCAATCCATGCTGCCCTCTTGCCATTCATCACCCCTTCTGCATCTGCCCAAGCCTTACCTGCCCTCTGAAGAGGGAGCATGACTTTAATGACCAAGGGCAAAGCATATGATTCTGCAGCCACAATCAGATCCTGGCAGTCCCTTCACTCCTTTTTGGCTCATTCCTTTGGCTCTGCTCTTATCATTTATTGGCTCACTGGTTCATGTAGTCACACTCACCTGGGAAGGCCTGACCGAACTCTTTGCCCCAGGGCCAGAGTAGTCAACTGACCACAGGTTTGATCAAGGTCCCGTTTTATTTCTGCTCCAATCTGAGTCTCTAAGATGTCCTGGGAAATGGTGCCTCTTAGAAACACACCTCAGCTGGGCAATGAAGGTCTATGCAGAAAAAATTGCAGTCAGCTGATCAGTGAAGAGCTAGGAGAGGTGTAGGAGGATTAGGGCGGAAAGGAGGTGTCTCTAACTTGAGGTTCTCTGTTTTTCCACAACCAAATCCTGCTCATCTATTGAATGGTTTCCTTCATTTGTTGAAAAGACTGTCCTTTCTCCATTGAACAGTCTTAGCTCCTGAGAAAGGCTGAGCTTTCTCCCCAACATAGAGGATTTAAGTTCTCTGAGGGCTCAGAGCCCCAAGTATTTCTCTTGTGATACATAGACCTGCCTTATTCCTTTAAGTTGTCTGAGAGGTGAGAGGTGCCAATTCTGATTGAAGAAGGCTTGGAGGACTCAAATGTTGCACAGGGCAGTGTTCTCCTGTTACCTGCTCAGTGGAGTTACCCACACTCAATATCACAAGCATCAACTTTCAGAGTTTTTATTTATATTTTTCTAATGATAGTGATGTTGAGCATCTTTTCCTGGTCTTATTGACCATTTGTATATCTTCTCTGGAGAAATGTGTATTCACAAGTTTTGCCCGTTTTTAAATCAGCTTATTTGGTGTTGCTGTTGATGAGTTGTAGGAGATCTTAATATATTCTGGATATTAACCTCTTGGTTAATATCCAAAATTTACAACCAAGATGTGAAAAGACCTCTGGCCAGGACTTCAGGAGATGGTTTATATTTCTTTTCTGTAAAGCCCATTAGCAAACACAGATGCCTATAATTCCTTCTTCTTTCTTAAAATCTCCCCAGTCCTTAGAAGATTTGCAAACTATTTTCTACCATTTCACAGATCACCGTTCACTCTGATGATTGTGTCCTTGGATGAACAGAAGTTTTCGTTTTGTCAAAAATCTAAATGATCTAATCTTTTCTTGCCTGAGTTTCTAGTTTCATATTCAAGAAATCACTGCCAAATCCAATGACATACTGCTTACCCCTATATTTTCTTTTAAGAGTTTTATAATTTTCGTTCTTAGCTTTAGGATTCAATCCATTTTGACTGAATTGTTGTGTATGTAGATATTGCTGTTCAACGGCATTTGTTAAAAAGACTGTCCTCTCTCCATTGAACAGTCTTGGCTCCTTTATCAAAACCATTGGATTGTGTCTTTTTACAAATAGAAGTCTTTATGCCAGTGTAACTATTTTGGTTACTTTCCCTTTGTAGTAAGATTTGAAATTAGTAACTGTGAGACCTCCAATTTCAATTCATCCTTTTGAAGATTGTTGCAAACATGTGGGATCCATTGAAATTCCACATAAATTCTGGGATGGATTTTTTTATTTCTGAAAAAAAAGTAATTGGGCTTTTGATAGGGATTGTTTCAAATATGAAGATAGTTGGTGGTCTTGGAATCAATGAACATGGATGTCTTTCCAGTTATTTGTTTCTTCCTTACTTTCAGAAATGTTTGGTAGTATTCAGTGTATTCATCTTCCACCTTATTATGTTTAACCCTAAGTATCTAGCCCCTTTGATGCTATTGTAAATGGAACTGTTCTACTTATTTTATTTGAGGATTGTTCATTTTTGTTTAAAGAATGGAAATGATGCTGACTGTTGATTTTGTATCTGGCAACTTCATCTTTTATATTAGTTATAATAGTTGTTTTAGGTGTGTATGTGGTGAAATCTTCAGGGTGTTCTACAATAAGTTTATGTTGTCTTTCTTAAAAAGGAATTTTCTTATTCGTCTCTGAATTGGATATCTCTTATCTCATCTTCTTGCCTGATTTTCCAGACTAGTTGAATTAGGGGAAAAAACAGCATCCTTGTCTTATTCATGATCTTAGTACTGTTTTCAGAGGTTCTCCATGGAGTAATGTGTTAGCTGTGGACTCTCATGTGTGGTCTTTACAATATTAAGTAATTTCCTCCTATTCCTACAGTTCCTGTCCTTTGTTAAAATCATGACCACTTCTCTTTAGTGATTTATTTTACCATTATATGCAATCAGCAAGCCTGGAAATAAAATCCTGTTCAGACTGAGGAGTCCTAGAGATTGAACTTTTCCAGATACAAGGTCACGAAGACTGGGTTTGGCCATCTTTATTGCCTAATGAGTTATTTAACAATAGTTAAATGAACATTCACTTTCTGTAAAATCCCCTTGGCCCCAGTAGTGGGCAGAAGTGGTAAGATTGCCTTTCCCAACATACATGGAATTTTTAAGTCAAAAGAACTTGTAGGAAAGAGTAAGTAAAAGCTCATGAGAGGAAAACTCCACCTTACGGTGAGGTTATTGGTCACGTGGGCTGTGAAAGGGATCCCTGTGTTAATACTACAAAGATGTCTATGGGAACAGGTCAGGGGTATGTGGGTTCAGAGAAGAGGTACAACCCTTTCCCTACACATCATCCCCTGAACAAAGACAATTGTCCTTCTACAGAGATCACAACCATTCTCTGGAGACCTTACAGAGCTCACAGTGGACTCTGAGTGACTAAGATGTCTGGGGAGCTAGCATGTCCCAGGTCCCAAGCCCACTCTCAATTAGCCATGCTCTCTATTTCTTCACAGAGCCAGTGAGAGTGCCCACCCTTCAAGCCAGCAACACCAGAGTCATGGAGCATAAGGATTCTGTGGTCCTCACCTGCCACACAAATGCAGTCTCCACCCAGTGGTTCTTCAATGGCATGAATCTGCTGCTTACGGAGCGGATGAAGCTGTCCTCAAATGACAGAAGCCTCACCATCGACCCTGTCAGCAGGGAAGATGCTGGGATTTACCAGTGTGAAGTGTCCAACCCCATCAGTTGGGCTACAAGTGTGCCGGTTAAGCTGGATGTAAAATATTAGTGACCCTCCTCCTCTCCTATATGTTACTAAACTCTGCATAATCTCTTGTGCCCTTTAAATAGATTTGTTGTGAGGGTGGAAAGTCCTTAGAAGATTTGCATTGAGTCAATAAATGCTCAAAAAAGAGAGCTGACATTGTCATTATTGTTGACTTAAGGTGATAGTCTATACCAGATCCCATCTCTGTGTGGTCTAAGTTGTACCATCTCCACAGTGGAGGTGAAACTGAGTCTTTCAAGAGAATGGCAGTGGCTTTGTGATTACCCTGGGTGCACATGATGAGTTTGCATAAATCCAAGCTCTGTCCCTCCTCCGGGGGGACATGTAGTGAATGCCCACCCACTGTTGTTGGCAATGGGAATGGACAGGAGGACACACATGTGGGTAACAACACTGACCTTTTTTTTTCTCCCTGTTTGACTTATTTCAAAAAATTTCTTAAGTCTTTTTGAGTATTTTATTTATACAGCTATAGATTTATTTGCATAAAGTAAATAGGACTCTGTCTTCCTTGTTAATAGGGTATAATTGAAACCTAAGTAACACAACCAGGACTTTGGCTCAAATGTCCTGGTTCAGACTGATGCCCACAGAATTAGAAATGACCTCACCTTTCATGGAGCTCAGTTTGACCTGCAGGTTTTTTTGGAATCTCTTGGAGATGAGGGCATTACCCAAAGCTCTAGGATGAGGCTTCGTAACCTCAGGAGGCTGTTAGAACTCCCATCTTCGGTTTCATAGAAAAACCTGCATCAGGGAAAATTATGTGGTAAATGTCAGTTCCTCTGCACGTAGGTCACTAATCAGGCCAAATCCAGTGACACCAGCCATGTTTTAGGATGGAGAATACTCTTCTTCCTTGGAGGTGACCTGTAGTCAAAAGGAAGGTGACTGAAGAGAGCAAAGTAATGTCTCCATGGAGAACTCTAGCAGCACAGCATTTGGGAGATCAGACCCTGGCTGTGTTGAGGAACTCTCAGCTACTTTGCATCTGTTCATAAATTGCTGGGAAATTGCACCTCTTTATACATTCCTGGAAATTATAAAAATGTCAACTGGGTCTTGGCTAAAAGAGATTTAGTTGTATTTCACTCCACTGTACAGAAAGCAGATTTGTTCTGAAGTAGAGGCCTTAATGTTCCCTCAGAGTCACTAACCTTTACAAAGTTTCTTCCTGACAAAATACCTTTGTCTTCCATCCTTAGACCATTTCCTTCATAAATGTAATTAGTAATTGCAGGTTCTTTCTCTGCACTTTTGAAATATACATAAGTCTCCTCAAAGGCTTCTTGTCAGTGTTATGACCCAGAGAATAACTGTCTCAAGGACCTGGTCCCATCCGTTTGAAATTTAATCTTCCTGGTGTCCCTGTGTCCCAGTCTCTGAGGGAGAGTAGGAGCCTAACTTGGGTGGGGACATTTACAACCAAGATTTGAAAAGACCTCCTGTCAGGTCTTCAGGAGATGGTTTACATTTCCTTTCTGTAAAGCCCATTAGCAAACACAGATGCCTATAATTCCTTCTTCTTTCCTAAAATCTCCCCAGGTTTTTCTTTCAGGGGTGTTGAGTTTCATCTCACTGCCCTATTGCATGGTTCTGAAGAATGTCTTCATTGCCTCTTTAAATGTGTTGGACACCTGTTTTACTTTGTCATCATCTACCTGTAACTAGCTGATCCTGTCATTTTGCTCACATTGTTGATCCTAACCTTATTTTCAAATCTTCCAATTTCTTTCCTTATCAGGCTAAAATCCTCCACATAAAGGTCTCCAGTTTTCCTTCCTTCCTTCTGACTTGACATCCACAGCAGCATCTGACGTGACTTCTTAGATGCTT